AGAAACAGAACACGTCCAGTTGCAAATCCTTGCGGCACAATACTCTGCAATCAGACAAACTCAAGGCGGTCAAGAGCAGGAGGTGGAGGACTTGTCCCCCCCAGAGGAGACTCAGGGAGCAAATGCAACAAGGGTCTGGACCACGTCCTGGACTGTAAGGACACAGGCGGGAAACTGGAGTTAACGCCTGTAGATGAGTTCAGAGTGCTGTGTCAGCGCTGCCTCCTGGTTCAATAACTGTACTAAGGTCACGGGAGGTGAGGAGAAGCCTGTGAACAGTATGCAGGAATTCTCCACATTACTCTTGCAAGTTCCCTGTAATTTTTAAATTATTTCAAAACTAAATTTTAAAAATCGTCTCCTCTGAGGAAAACCGCTACCTGTTAGAACGATCTGAAGCAGGCTTCAATGGACCAAGCACTAGGAACAAAGAGGGTGGGCACTAAAGCAAAGGAGCAAACGCCACCACCAACTCCACTTCACATTTCCACCGGCCAAGGCTCGCACCCCCCAGAGCACAGCCACTGGAATCTTCAACATACTCTCCTGAGTTCCGAGGGCCCTCCTTCTGCTTCTGTAACTTGTTTCCTGAGTCTACGCAGCCCAGCTGCTCACTTCTACTACCTCTGTAACTTTTTAAAAAAATTTGTATGAGTTTATTTGAGTCAAACTGAAGACATAAGCCAGGAAGCAAGATCTCAAATGCTCCTTTGTAACTCGCTAAATAAACTTTCTTTTATAATATGAAAAAAGTACACCCCCCCACCACTGGCCAAGACAAAACCTAATGCAGTGATTGTAACAGCTGCAAGAACATCTCTTTTGAAGAGACAACAAATCTTTTTATTTGTCCTACCCTCCTATCACACTATGGTACAGAAACCCCACGAATAGGTGAAACAGGAAATGTAGCAGCCATGCCAAGCCACCCATCACAGGTGCCAACAGCACACAGGACTAAGAAGCGGCTCAGCCTTCTGGAGACTGGCCAGGAGACCACGAGTCACCTCGTCGTAGTTGGTGTCATTCAGATCCTCATCATCGTCATCCGCAGCCTGGCTTTTCTTCATCTGGTCCCCGACGGTCCTCTTGCCCGGAGGCGCATGGCGGTCATCCACAGGATCATTGGCATCCCGGGCAGGCCCAATGTCTGACCGGGTGGTGAAGCCAGTGGCGCTGCAGGAGACCCCAAGACACCCATTTACCTTGTTCTTGCGTTCTTCCCTCCACACTCGTCACTTAGTAAGGCCTCTTTTCCTAACACCTCCAAAGATGCCGGTCACAGTAAACCACACATGGCTGTGCTCTCATGCATTTCCAGTCCGTTCTCTTTAGGCAGCAAACCTTCTAACCACCCTGAGAAGGTGACTCAGGCTTGCTTTTGCCACCACACTCTCCTTGGGAGAGATTCTCCTTTGAAGCCCCAGACTGCATTCCCAAAACCCTCCCATCCAAACAGGCCCTTAAACCCAACTTAACCCCATCAGAGTTCCTCTTCTGTGCCCACCCTGCGGCTGCTCTGGGCTGTTTCGGCTGATGGCAACAGTGCCATCCAGGAACCAAGGCAGATACCGTGGCATCAGCTTTGCCTCCCTCTCCCTCCTCCTCCATCCCATCTGTTGCCCCGTAGTTCTGAGTCTACCTCCCAAACCCTCCTCCCAGACTATGACTCCCATCGGCTGGGAACCAACTGAGCCACTGGCCTCCAGCCTCCCCCACAACTCTGAAGCTCTGCCTCTCCAACGCTTCCAGGAACTCTACTACCGTCACCACACATTGTGTTCACGGACTCCTTGCTATTCCCTCACCTGCCTCCATGCCTCATCTGTTTCCTTAACTGCCCAACACACAAAATGCCAGTTTCGCCTATAACCCTGCCACATGTCTGCATCCTTCTAAACTAGGTCCAAATGCTAACACTCCACAGAGCGTCGCCTGACCACTGGGCCCAAGTTCTAGATGTTACCCTTTATAAGTTTATGCATTTACCTCACCTCCTCTAGCCAACTGCAGGTCCTCTAAAAACAGCGAGTATGAGGCCTATGTGTACCCACAGGTTCTAACACAATGCCGCGAACCACAGAAAGCCAGTACTTTTCCTAACTAATGAGTAACGGAACAGACAGGACGGCTGCTTGCTCATCCAACCATTTACGCGGTCTCCGCGGCCTGCGGCTCTCGGGGAGCTGAGAGTCTGAAGGAGCAGGTGAGAGCACGCACAGCACCGGGAGGGAGGCGGCCCTGCGGCCGCCAGAGGCATCTCCCGGGTGGTGCGGAGAGGACCGGTGACGCTCGGCGCGGGCGGGTCCGTGGGCGGAAGGGCAGCCCGCGCTCCCCGACCGCAGACCTGCCAGGCGGGGCGAGACCCCGCAGGGGCCAG